AGTAGTAGTAGTAGGAGGAAGAGTAGCACACATAGTAGTAGCAGCAATACAAGTAACAGTCGTCGTAGGCGTGGTCGTCGTAGTAGCCGTGCGCTTGCGAACTGGCCGAACGGTTTTTGGTCGGCCATGAACCGTAAACCTGCGACACGCATTTTCCCAGGTACAACACTGCTCAACCCCACCCCAAGACTCGAGGACCCTTTCCTAGTATCTCAGTCTCAGGAAACTAAAACCAACGTCCTGATATATACAAATGTATAAGTAAAATATATAGTGTGTGTGTATATATATATATACATACACACACCCGAAACTTCAGTCCTGATGTCTTAGAGACTCCGATCAGAGGGCTAAACCTGTGCGATTCGCCTTGGAAACCCAGCCGTCATAAAGGCTCAACCATGCGGGCAAGCCTATGATTAGCATACTCATAACAACACTAGTAGTAACACTTGTAACGGCAATCGTAATGGTGGAAATGATGCTTCCCGGTATGGTCTAGCGTTTAGGGATAGGGCTGAAGGGATATGATTACACTCTTCCTTTCTGCAACTCCCTACATAGACCTTAAGCCTTGAGCTCAAATTTCAGGCCTTTTGCCATGTGGCACCGCAACCATCCCAACACCCAGGCCCATGCACACGGATTCAGGCTGTTGGGGCTACGGTTGCGGTGAGAAATTCAAGAAAGCACCGTTATGGTTCCACAAGCTGTCAAGGCGGCACAGTTTTTGTCCCGTATGCTCCTATCGGTGCCCATTACCCTTCGCGCAGCCTTGCTTGCACAGTCTGCCTGCTTCGTCTTCCCCATGGCCCTGGGTGCGGCGACCTCGGCATGCGCTTTCCAAGTTTTTTTGGGGGGAGTGCTCCTGGATGTCCTGGGCTCTTGTGGGATTTGTGACTTTCTCTTTTCTTTGCATCTTACATGGTTTGTAAGGATCCTACAACTGCGAGAAATGATTGCGACTAGGCCCGGGGGGGAGTTAGAGTCTGCGGTGTTTTTTTTTGAAATTCCCTTTAGAGGGGGCCTCATGGCCCTTGGTAATGGCTGTGCCAAGTTGAGTAGGTAAATCCCAAATCTGAACCCCTAACCCCAAGTTGAGCTTCTATATGTATACATATATGCATGCATATAGTCCTGAGTCATGATTCCCAAATCCTGAAGCCCCTCGGCCTAGTTTTTTGCGGGTGCCATGGCCTCATGTTTGTTGATCCAGTGTGTAGGATTGTCTCTGTTGCTGCAGAGTTTCGGGTTGAAGTGAACTTCCAATCATAAAGAAGCCTTCGGAGATTCAGTTTTGTCAGGAATCGCAGGTCTCTTTGGCGCGTAACCCGCAGTCAGAGCCTTGCTCCGGGTCTACATCTGAAGCCCTGAACCCTAAATCCGAGAGGTCTTTAGGGTTTATTTCCGGGGTTGTTGCCTGACGACTGCATATATACGCTCCTTCCGAAATCTTCTGGTGCGTTTTATCACTTTAGTTCATTCTGCGGATACCATAATATAAAACCCCATGGCACAAGGCCCCAAGTGGGGTTCGGGGGCCCCCGAAGCCTCAAAGTCGCGCAGCGGCGAGGTGTGGGCCTCCAGCACCGTGATCTACCTCGGCTACACCTCGTGCAAGAAGGCCCCAGAATTTCGGGGCTTTAGAGGCCGTGGGGTTTTTGCTGCTTTAAGGCTTCAAGTGAGTTCCTTAAAGGGGTCTTTATAGCTTTCTTGCCAGGATTCCGGGGCTTGGCAAGGTACAGCTACCGGCAAGAAGAAGGACACCGACTCAAGATACTTTCTTTCGCCTCTATGTATGGCCTACTTCCAAACTTGCTTCGTCCTCCGGCTGGGTGGACATTGTCTTGACTTATATCGAACACTTGGGCTACGCCTCTTCGGGGAGCATCTTTCCCACGAGCCAACCCAGAGCTCCAAGTTGAACCATCTCGGCCAGGCCCTGTCTGAGTTCCGTGAGAAATTACGGACGGAAAAGAGCCTATTCCGGGGAGCACAGGGCAGAAGTTGAGCCCGTTGCAAAAGGGCACATTATCTCTGCCGGAACCCTGACAATGCCTGGATGTAACCCCTCCATAAACATACTTCATTCGCTACGTGAAAAAACCCTGGGGCATAAATGCGACTGAGCACCTTAAACACTCCGGGGTCGGGGCACCAGCCCGAAACACCGAGGTATGGCTTGCGATCCTGGAACCTGAATCCTGGGCCCCCCCGGCACATGCTGAATCAGAACCGGCGCAATGGCATTGGGATCACTCCCCTAAACCCCTAAACCCCTAAACCCGAAACCCTTAAACCCCTAAAACCCCGGAAGACCTGAGCCCTTCGAACACACTTTAATGTGCACTGTACTTCCCATCGGCTCCTACCCTAAACCCTAAACCCTAAAGCCAAAAACCGAATCTCTTCAAGCCTCGATGCCCGAGACTTTGAAGCGCGAAGCCCTACAAACCTTGAACTACACCCTGAACCTCTGGAGCTTTTTGCCCTTAGCCCCATTGGGCCTCAGACCCAAAACCGCGAGTCATGACAGCAGACCCTCAACCCGATCCGAGTTGCGAGAGTCCGAACCCAACTCCCCGAGCCCTACTTTGACGCTGCAAGCACTCGTCAACAGGGGGCTTCATGTTCCTCGATATGAAAGAGGGACGCAAAAAGTGGCTGCAGCGAAGGGTAGATAATTCCAAAATTCTCCCCTGAAGCCCGACTGCAGATGTTGCACCTCCGCTCGCCGGCGAAGCCAAGCATCCGCCCGGCTTTTCTCTCTGGGTGCAGGGCACTCGGCACTCTGACAAGTGGAAGGATGCAAGCGTAGACCCTAAGCCCTAAGCCCTAATCGGAAGTCAGCTTTCAGCATTTCGGGGTTTCATGCATATCGAGTTGGCAGGGTTCAGCTACAGGACAGGGTTCAGGATGGTCTCAAGACTTAGGAATCGCTCGGCCCGGTCGGGCGAGTGCAGTCTTCGGGGATCGGATGGCTGGGTGAAGAGGGGGGGAAACAGTGGGGAGGGGGTCTTTCTGGGAACCTCTGACCGACCTCGACTTTAGCAGGGTATCAGCGTTTGGGGGTTCATTGGGTCTTGCTAGCTCGGGTGTTCGGGGTTGGGGCTGCTTCGGTTCAGAGTCTTGGGCCGGTTTGGTAGAGCTTCTGGGGCTTGGGTGCCGGCTTTTTCGGGTCGAAGGAGTGGTTGGGGCTTTGGGTTTTGTTTGGGTTTCGGGCTTTGGTGTTCCGATCATCTTAGCTCCATGTGGGGTAGCTGCAGCTTCATCTGCCCAGTGCCTTCAAGCATTGTAGCTTATTTCGCAAAAGAGGGGCTTCAGGGTGTTTAGGTTGTGATAGGTTTTCGGACTTTTTGGCGTTTTCTTTGTTTCAGCTTCAGGGTTCAGGCCTTGATCGAATGTCTTTTACTAAGACCCTCGCCCTCCCAGCCCCCCAGGAGACACAATGTCCAAGGGAGGGATTTGAAAGGAAGCGCCCCTGTTGCATTGTCATTGTCTCCCCTGTGGGGCTTCTGTAACGGTTTGGGGCTTCGGAGTCTGGGTTCAGTAGGTTTGGGATTTCTGGCTTGATAATTGGGCCTAAGCTCTATGGGTTTAGGGCTTATAAGCTCTATTGTAGGCCTGAGTCCTATAGTACTCTAGGGTTCAGGGCCTATTCTCTTTAGGGTTTGGGGCCTAAGCTCTAGTGCTTAAGGCCTGAGCTCCTGGTTTAGGGTTCCCAACAAGCGCAGAGGCCTGTGGGCCGCCGGGTTCGCCTGCTTCGCAAAGTCGTCTGGGGCTGATGTCAGCTGTGCTTGCTCGTGTTTTCGGGGCACTTGACTTGTGTAATTGGTATCCTTAAGCCCCTTTGTGTCTTAAACCAGGGGAAACTTCGACCTGATGTGGGTTATACCGGGTTCATTCAATTTTCCGGGCTTCAGGCTTCATATGTCCAGGTTGAACCCCCCCGACAAATCCGAAAGTATGGGGTTCCTAAACCCAAAGCCCGAAACCCTAGACCTCATAGAGTCGGAGTTGAGGGCTTTCGGGCTCCCGGGCCCAGCCCCAGTCCCTGGAAGCCTCTGCGCTTTGCTTTAGGGTTTAGGGCTTGGGGCTTAGGGTTTAGGCCTCCCTTGCCGGTATCCCGATCACTCCAGCCAAGTCTGGACAAGGGGCAAGCGTCTAGGATCGATGCACCTTAACCCTAAACCCGGGATGCGCGAGCCTTGACTTGAACCATTAGCCTATAATTTCGTCGGATCCGAGACAAGGCTGGATGACATCCGCTATACAGCCACGTACATGCTCAGTGTCATCGGTGCGAGCCCGAGCCTCCATCTTCTACAGGGGCCGTAGCCGTTGCAAGAGGGTTTTGGGGGGTATGCTATACCAACTGATGCTATTGGTAATGATTTATTTCTGACACTTTTAATGTGCCTGCATTGTTGGGTATCGCCTACCCGACTATCCTACGGTACGGATTTTGCCGTAACCTTGAAACCCCATTTCGTCAGACAATCTTTCGTGGCATGTCCGAACTGTAAGGAAGCAATCTTCGAAGATAGCAGGATTGCAAGTGTCAGAAGCTGACCTTCAATGGCTGAAGGCCTAATATCTAAGTTTTGGACAATGCCAGGTTCGTGATTCAGCATTCAGCCGTAATCGGCGCTTAAACCAGGTAGGCTAGCGGGCAGCCACTCATCAGACGGCGCATAGGTCCTTAAGTTCCGACCAGCGGACACGATGATGTACCAAGAAAGCCCCAGACTCTCTATAGAACCAAAGAAGTTTTCACCAAAATGTCCATGGCCTCTTCGATTGACGACTTGAGGAACACTCTTAGGTCGGTATCGGGCGCTCTGCGTGTCCTACTTAGAGATTGTGGCGGATGATGCAAGACCATGCCAGGTCCTGTGCTTGTGTCGCAGTTGATCTCCGTCTTTGTCTTCAAAGAGATCAAGGACTGCAGCTTCACGACTCTCAAAAATATCAAGGCAAGGCACCCAACAACATGTTCAACTCCTTTGGAAGCTTTGTTCGTCTGTGACGAGGCTGGCAAGCCTTAAGCCATACGTACTGTAGATACACCGCCCTGCAAACCATCAATCTGCAGCATTTAGGCTTGCAATCGCAACACCTAACGGCCCAATGATAAGATTCATTGATTTTGGTGTCGGCTGTGGTTCTTTAGGCGTACACGCGTGTCATCGAACAGGTTTGGATCTTAGACTCTGACTCCACCCAGAGAGCCCAAAACCCCTTCAAACCAAGAATCCTCTGCAATACCGCTGAGTAACCATGTGCAGGATGTCATGTTCTGATTCAGGGATCAGTGGAATTGAGCTTGCTGTGAGAGAACCGCATGGTGTTGAGCATGGCGAATGCCCAAACCCCCAAGCCCAAGCCACCAACCCCACCCCAAGCCGCTGATCGCCACACGCCTAAACCCAACCCTGTGTTCCAAAGCCGCCCCTCGTTTCTAACATAAGCTTACCCGCGGTCATACACGTGAAAGTGCTTAAGCTAGACATAGTCTAATCTCGAGACTCTAGGCCTATGCCCAAGACAAAACGACAGACCCCCCCCCAAAAAAAAACCGTAAACCCAACAAGGCCCTGTGGCCACTAGCCTGCAGGAGCGGGGGCAGTTGCGCTGGTTTGCCTGCTCATGCTTTGCCCCTTCTCTCGGTTTAATGCTTGGGGTTTGGTGTCCATTGACTTTGTTGTTTAAGAGTTCGGGGTTCAGCTGGGCCCGACCAAGCCTGCTTTCCCGACGCGGGTCCTAGGTACTGCCGGTAATATGCCATCATTCATAGATATGATGTCCCCCTTACCATCTGTTCTAGTTATTATGGCCCCGAGCCTCCAAAGGGGACCCTACCATGGTAGAGTACCCTCAAAGGAGACCGATTAAAAAACCTATAGTCGTCTCTAATTAGTACCCTTTGAAGGTTCATGAGAGTCACCCTTACTAAGGTTTACCTGTAACCGAAAAGACCTACCAATTTAGGGTTCCTTATTATGGTTTCTACATATACATATATACATACATACATATCAATTAGTTACTTAATAATTAATTAATAATTAATTAATTCATTAGTTAATTAGTTAGTTAATTAATTAATTAATTATATAGATAGATAGTTCCTTAAAGAGTAGGTCTTCTCGGTTACAGGTCGGGTTTAGGGTGCAAAAAGGTTGGGGCTCGGAGCTGGGGCTGTTGGGCTCGAGCCATCGAGGCAGGGCTGCTACATAGAAGAAGGGATGCTCTAAGGGAACTAGAAAGTTTTTCTTATACTATGGTAAGGGTTATACCATGAGGAATACGAGACGGGTTACTAATTATGAGGGGTTTTGGATTCCATAGTCGATCGCCTCTCTTGGCATGATGGCGAGACCATGGGCACGTGGGGCGGTTTTAACACATGAGGCTGAAGGTCGCGCTTTTGCGTGTTTGCTGGAAAGGCTACTAAACTATAAGGTTGACGCACCTTTTGTCCCTCGTGATTATGGCTGTTTCAAGTGCGTTTTATGTGGCAGGCGCGGCACTTCTGAATATTGGAGGTTTCTAATAATGACCCCTATAGCATGAACACTTTCGACAAAGCGTCAATGTTCATAAAGTGGCAAGAACGGTGACGCATGGTCGCCATTAGAACCGACGTCATCCACCCCACCCCCCCTTCCCCACACTCCCCACACCCCCAACAACGAAAAGCAAGGAAAGCGCCGGGGAACTTATATTGAGGCACGTCGACCTATAAGAGATACTCAAAATCGTGGCCTTGAGAATTAGACGAGTGACACGGTTCCTCGAACGGTTCTAAACGGGCTCCCAGAAATGTTTTCGGGGGTGGCATGATTGTATGCTTGTTATGTGGATTAGGTAACTCTGAGAATAGGTTCTCATTCTGCACTGAAGCAGACTTCTCTGAATCTATGGAGGTCCGTATACTTGAAACACGGTTTCCAGTGAGCTAGGTGGGAAGGAAAACACAATTCCGCACCCTCCAACCCAGAACCGATTCAACCGCCAGCTGCAGACGCCCTACGCATATTAACCCTTGCAAAGGTCCAGTTCGCCGGCATGACACCCTAAACCCTCAACCCTAAAGCCTAACCCTTGCCAAGGTCCAGTTCGCCGGCATGACTTGCATCATCCTGGGTACCTGAGCTGCCTGAGCAAAGGAGGCTCTCGAGTTTACAGTAGGGAAGTTTGATGAAAAAGAAGCCCAAATGGGAGTCTCAGCAAGCAAAGGCCCCTTAGTACATAGGCCCCTTATCTCTTTGACGCTAGTTACTAGCCTGACCGTCTACCTCCCCCTGGGAAATTACAATTGTAGGCCCTATCAGCCCTAAACCCTGAAACCCTAAACCGTTCAGGAGTTTAACTTCAGGTTGGTTGTCATTGAAGCGTAATTGTTTATTCAGACATCTTTAGACCATTGGCAGTCTGGTGCTTGAAACGAAACAGCTGAACCTTGAAGGTAAGGGTTCATAGGTACCTGGTTTTTGGGTAGTGGCAATGTAGGTCAGTATTCGGCCCTGTATATCTGATTCTTAAGTACATGGAGCCTTGGGGTAGCACATCCAACACTGCGCAAGCCAGAGTCCTAAATCCTTGAACCAGCGCATTGAAACTTGCTTGAGGGTTTCGCGATCGTCGGAGAAAAGGATGCGCTCGGCTGCCCCTGTTCGCTTTGGTGGCGTTGTTGTGTTTGCACCCGCAGGGTTTAAGGACTTTCAGGTAGAAAGCTGTAATATGGATTACGGATGATTGCTGCTGTGTTTGTACTTTACCTCAAAAGCATCAGGATCGCGATGTCCCAACTTTTTGTTGGCTTCTAACTGAGGCTTTGTTGGGACATGGGCTTTTCGTAGGGGTTAAGGTCGTGTTCGCACTTCTCACTGGGGCTGCTGTCTGGGAGTTTGAGACTGTACACACGCTATTCCTTGGTTTTCAGGGATCTCCTTGACGATCAGGCAGATCAGGTCCTCCGGCTGAACCCTAAACCCCTAAACCCTATAAGGCCTAAGCCTAAGCCCTATAAACCTTAAAGCAAAAAGCCTGAACCCTAAACCCTATCAGGCCAAAACCCTAACCCCTATAAACATTAAAGCAAAAAGCTTAATAAATTACACTCGAACACCCCGTGACCACCTTGCAACCTGGACTTGGCACACGAAAGCCCGAGCTCCCGCGAGCCCTGACTAAGGCTTAAGGTATCGACTCCTGAGCAAAAGAAGCCTACACCCATAGAGTTTAGGGTTGCGGGGGTGGTTTAGAGTTGAGGGCCTAGGGTTTGGAGGCATGTGTTGCCGAAGCATTGGTACTATCGCTCAGCGGTCTGAAGGAGTAGTACTGCTTTCCTTTGATAGGCCCTGTATACTTTTTTTATCCATTACTACTACAACCGCAAGACCAAGCTCCAATTCTAAATGGAACCTGTGCGACCCCGCAAATCCTAAACCCCGAGGCTCCTGCCTTTGCTTTCTTAATCCCTGGATCCTAAAAGCCCTAAACCCTAACTTCTTCATGCCCAAGCGCTACACCCCCAACCGGTTTATTAATCCCTATAAGTCGAAACCCCAAAAATCCTAAACCCCCAACCAGTGTATTAATCCCTAAACCCGAAAGGGCCCGAAGCCCTTTACCCCTGCTTTCTGCATGCCCCCCCATCCGCCTGAGGTTCTGGCCATCGGGCTGCGGCTGTGAAGGGGGGATCTCTTCTTATAGCACTTGGACCCCACGAGTATGTAGTCTAATAGCCTTCCGGAGGGTTTAATTACAGCATAATGGACCCCCCCAAAACCCTATTCTAAATATTCAGGCCCCTAGGAATTAATCCTCAAATGAGATAAGTTTTACCCAGATTCAAGGTTGGCTATTTATCAGCGAGCTTTGCAACTAGGCCGTGCCATCCTAGCGAGAAGGACTTGATATATTTTTTAGGACCAGCAACTTGCAACTGGGTTTATATAGGGTTTAGTCTCAGGCTGCAGAGGGCAGCTTTTGGAATGTGGATTAGGATGGCATGGGGACTAACGCCGTGGAGTTTTGGGTTGGGAGTCCAGGGACCCCCCCCAACCCCCCAAAGCTTTAGAACTCAAAGCGCATGATCATGCCGTTTAGCCCTGACCCTTTGGTGCTGAAGGCTTTGCATCGTAGAATCAAGCGAGACAGCTCAAGCAGTCGAGTTCGTCGCGCACAAATTCGCTTCTGGCTTTGGGGTTTGAGGGCTTGTGTTGACATAGATGTTCAGTGTTAAGTTTGTTTAAGCTGTGGTGTTTCAGGGTGTTACTATTACAGTGCCTGGCGGCTCAACCAGGACCCTGCAACTGCACTTCTTGCTGTTTTTGGAGTTCCTGGGTCTAGAGTTTAGTGCATTAGAACAGGATTCCATGAAGGATTCTACAAGTGTTGCGGGTACTTTGTTTCTGCGTTCTCCAGTACAGGAGCCTGGATAACACTAAAGTGTTTAGGGGTGAGCCAGGATTTCGAGGTCAAGCTTGGGTTCGGGGGCTTTGAAAGATTGGACAACGTTGAAACTCGCAAACCTCCAGCAGGGAAGTGCAATGAAGGCTTGTCATGGATTCGGGCTTACGGATTGGGGTGGTTGAGGGTTTGGAATTTTCAGGTTAAGCTTTAAAGCACCCCTGCAACCTGATTCATGTATATCCGGTGGACTGATTCCTTGCCAACCCCGCGCTTCCGGAGAGAGGAACACACGAACCAACATCCCATTCATCTTTATATTTGTCTAGGAGATCATGTGAAAAAACGGACACCATTTTTCGGTCGGGATGCGCAGTTGCTCAAAGGTAGGTCCGTTGGGGCTTTCAAGCTACCTGGCTCAATCAGCCTCTTGGCGAAGCGCCCGTGCCAACGACGGCCGCTAGCCTTAAATCTGCTATGTTCGTAGGTCTGGAGACTAGGGTCGTTATTGTTAGGAGCTCCGACGTCCCACTTTGTCGAGGTCGCGGAGGTCGCTTATCTTGGGTTGAGGGGTTTACTGATGTTTACTACCAGTAGTGTTGAAAGTAGCATGGCCCGAATACAGAAGTGTTATGGGGTAGTGTCAGACCTAGGTGTCAACCTCACGCGTCAAAGCTCTTTTGCTGCCAACCTATGATGTGCTTCATTGGCTCTAGACTCTATAGGATTTCGATCGGACGCCCAAACTGGTAACTTCAGCTCCACAACCCCAGAACCCCATAAGCCACCAAACCCCCAAAAGCCCCCAAACCGCAAGTCCTCTTCACTGCAGTTCTGGGCTCGAGACCGAACCTTCCTCAGTGTGTGTGTATGGCCGGCATTCACTTCCGGATGTATGGTTGGCTACGTGTTCCCGTTAGTCCCCATACCTACTTACAACAAGCCCCCCAGAAGGAGTCGATGATTCTAGTCAACTTTGGCATAAGACCGGATCCGAAGACATATGAAATCTCAAGCGCCGAACTGGCAGTCCCCCGCCCCCGCTTGCCTGCAGGTAACAACCCTGGGGCACCGCGAAAGTCCCTCGGTTAGCCGACGACCCTCAGATAGACACTCGAAACGCACACCTTGGAAGCAAAGCCACTGAACCAGTCCCATTAGATCCTAGACGAAGTCTCATTACGATACCCTCCGGTCTCTTTGTCACCGAAGTCTGCCGAAAAGCGAGCTTGCTGTTCCTCCTGCGGGCTTGGGTGCCATGAGATCCGTGCTTCCGCTGCAGTTGGGTGACTGCAGCTCAGGGCTGCTTCTTGTTGCCAGGTTCAAAGGCGAGTGTCTTATAAGAGCTTTGTAGTTGGTGATTGGAGCCTTGGGATCTCGGCTGGACACAGATTGTAGTGCTTGAGAAACATTAATTAAGCCTCTGTCAGAATGTTTGAGTGTACCGGGCTGTTGAGAATCCTTGTCTCGGGAGCCTCATGAAATGCTTCTCCCGCTGCCTTAAACCCTACCTAAACCCCCAAAAGTATGTAAAATACTAGCCTTTTAGAGGTTTTGGGCCATTTTTTACCTACTTTTGGGGTTTAGGTAAACCCTTTCAGGTGATCTTATTGACCCTTGCAGCGCTGGCTGCAGCAGACGTCTGTGCCGACCCAGAGGAGGGCCTGGCGCTTCTTCAGCTGCGGGAAAACATGACGGAGACGGAGCCTTGATCAGACATCGGGGCCAGGTGTATGTATGTATGTATGTATGTATGTATGTATATAGATAGATAGATGAGCAGTTCTCTAAATTAGGGTCCCCTTTTAGTTCCCCAATATAGTCCGGCACCCTTATAAAAAGGATCCAAAAATGGACCCTATTTTAGAAAACTACCCAGATAGATAGATAGATATACATAGAGAGCGAGAGAGAGAGAG